ATGCTTCGCATACAAGAGAGAGAAAGAGAGAGAGAGAGAGAGAAAAAACTCGTGCGTTACCACTTCAGTATGTTTTGATTTCCTTAATAGTCACGTCAGAAAATAATCTTTTCCGAAAGCAATTGAACCGAAAATATTGACGTTGTCTAATTTTGCTTAAATATTTTATTAATTTTATTAGTGCTATAAATTAATTAATTTAATGTTAATTTTATCGGTATTATATAATATCAAGCTATATAAGCAGCAAATAATTAATTTGTCAATAAATTGAACATTGTGCCATATTGAAGCAAAACAATATCGCGATATAAACTGATGTATAGTTAATCGCGTGTAGAAAAGTTAAAAAAATAAAGGCGATTCTAAAATTAATTATGATGGTCGGGCGAGATTTCCCACCGGATCGCTTGGCTCGACCAATAAATGGGCAGCTTATTTCAGTATGCATCGCGTCGTTCACTTAATAAGTTTTCCTTATCAATGTATGTCATCTACGGCGAGTAGCCGAGACCTGTCATTATCGGTTTTATCTTGGTCGATTGTTCTCGATTATTTTCGTGAAAAGTTGCCCGATACGCACGTGCGTACTTGTTACGTGAAGTAGAATTAATGCAATGTGGTCTGACATGTGTTGCTTATTGGCCGCGCTTTCACCTGATTAGGTTTTATCAGACCACCAAACTATTTCCGCTTACTACAACGCTTGTTACACAAAACCGGTATTTTGCAGTGCTGCTCTTGGAAAGCGTAAACATCATGTAATAATTATCCCGTTGGGCACATGTCGGAGAGACCGAGAACAAATATACAAGATTTTTTAACATATCGTTTTTTATAGTATTGGAAATATACATGTATATATTTAATGACATATATATTATTTAATGGAATATATATATATATATATATATATATATATATATATATATATATACATGCCATTATATAAAATAAATGTTTTAATATACACGTATGTACAAATATTGTAGCATATCGGTAATAAAAAAAGCAATGTTACAATTGTTTTCACAATTTCCTGCCAATATACTATGACTATGCGAGCGACTCGTCAATGAGTGTCAATTTTTGACGTTATAAACAAAAATAAAGAGATGAGAGAATACATTGGCGAAACGGAGAAACGGACAATTACGGTTGAATAAAATATCTCGATGTGCAGCGTAGAAAGACTTTTCAACGCATAGAAAACAGCCTGCCCGGCCTTGATATCGAATCCATATTGATGGAGATTCGCTGGAAGGGTGTGAGACAACGTGCCACGATTCGGCCAGATTTGCATGCATTAACGCCACAAGCGAGACTGATTGACAATCCGTATGTCATTGTGATGTCAGTCAAATCGGCCAAGCGTCCTCCATCAATCGCAATCAATTAAGGTAACGATTGATTGTTACGCGTTTGGCCTCGGAGAAGAGAATATCGTGAACCGGTATTTATGTGGAGCATAACGGAACATTGCAAAAGCTGCAATATCGTAGGAATGAAAGGGACGATGAAAAATGTTTAGAATGCACGTTGCACGTCGTTTATTTTTTGCAAATTATTACTTTATACTACTCTTTTTTTAAGCTTTATTGCAAGATTTTACCCACATAGTGGTGATAGAGATATATTTAATTATAAAATTTACTATCTGAATATGTTAAAATATATATTATTACTTTAGATATGAAATTAGTCGTGTAAATCCTTTATATTTCTTTTTTACAATTTTCATATTTAACTTAAATAAAACAATAACCCGCTGTTTGCACATCTCGCATTTAGTATGTCATCAAATCACAAATCATATTTAATTTTTATATAGTTATTTTATTCTTAGAAAGTTTTGCTGAGCAGATTTACGTTTGTAAAAATATCAATGTCAGTTGTGTGTGTGTGTGTGTCTCAATTATTTCCGAATATCTTTTCACGCTCAATTGAACATTTAACGTAATGTTTCCATGCGTGAGCGAGTAGAGCGATTTGAAATCTGCCCAGCTCGCCACCAGAAGAGGATTAACTTTTATCACGGTGCTGACCAGCCTTGGAGCATTTTCATTTTTTTTTTTTTTTTTCGTGCAAAATTTCGCCGTAGCGTCCCCTCGGAGAGGCACGGGTAGAAGCGAAACGATCGCGTGGGATCCGAAATGGAATCCATCAAATTGACGGAGGGAATAGCGGAGAGATGGTGCGTCACGGTACTGACGGTCATCGCGGCCGGTATGAACGCGTGGAGGAGGATGAGAGGAGGCGACGTAGGAAGAGGAAGACCGCCGGTTGCAGCGCGCACGGAGGGCGCATACGAGGGCTATGATCGATGCCCCGAAATTAAGGGCTTGCCCACTGAGCGAAATAAAGTTAGCCAATCGTGCTGGCGACCGGCCTGTTCGAACGTTATTGGTTGTGGCAGCGTCAGGGTGCGTTATTCGTCGCACACCGACCCGATGCCCGATTTTTTTCACGCATTCTCCCACCCTCCGTTTCTCTGTTTTCGGAGGGAGAGTTTCTGGGATACCGGCAATTGGAGAAAGAGAGTGACACCGAAACGCGTGAGCGGAGGAGGCGGGTGGATTTTCGTAATTATGAAACGCCGTTAGCCCCCGGGGATCCGTCAGTCGGCGGGGGAGAGCCCATGGCGCTGTCCATGGCTACGACAATGCCATTTTAATTATGCATGTTAATTGGTTTCCGAGTCCGGCGTAATACCAGCTTCTCTAGGACTGTTCTCGCAATCCGCCTATCATCGATCGATGCCATCGCGCTTCGATCAATCGATGGACCGATTATATCAAACTGTACCGTTCCCTAATAGAAGGGATTTAAAATCTCTGCAATTTTTATGAATCTGCATTTATATTTGTCGGTTGACTGAATATATCCGTAATAAAAAAATGAAAAATAAAAAATGCTATCGTAATAAATAGGAAGGATTTGAAAAGCTTTATTTTTTACAAATTTCACATATCGAATATATAAAGCATGTAAACCCAATCTACTATGTATCGAGTACCAGTATTAGTTTAAATAGTGAAAATTACGATTGGATATTGCATCGAAAGTGGCGCGAAGGGATGACAAAACGATCACGTTTAGGAATACGGATGCTTTGTTTTTCTCTTTAGTCAAATATATACCGAATTGATGGGGAGCGCGTTGTACTTTCTACACAGCTGAGTGAGCATGTCACAATCGACCAGGACCGCCTCAATCAAAGTGGCATTGATACCCTTTGCCCACTCTCTCAATCCGGCTTTCGCATTCTCCATTGTGGTTTTGTGCGAGACCAAAAATCTATTAGCTTTTTAATATATATATATATATTTTCCCCCTGAATAACGAATAAAGGCACATCATCTATACATTTATAAAAAAGTATATTCATTTGTAAAGATATAAGATTAAAAATTGAGGATAAACAAAAAGATGTCGCATATCGCAAACGTGATCCGTTTTTTGAATTTGTGTAATATTTTATCTAATCATATTTAATAAATGAATTTATTTTGCATTGGCATAATTGGATATCAGTGTATAATCAAAATATATTATATGCCTAATTAACATTGTATAATATTATATATGTTGTATAAAGTAAGATTATTTTAATTACTAAATGATAAAAATAATTATAATGATTTAATTCTATAATTTTGCGGAAGTAGTCCATTTATTTTACTCTCGTTACGATCCATCGTATTTATAAAACGAACTCGAGGGTGGCGTTCGTCACGACACGCGACCGCATCGCGGTTGCATTCACGTTACAACGCGGTTGTTACGACATTATTCGAGTGCGTGCGTGTGCCAAACGAGCATTTTCGAGATTAATTCTTCTATCATTTCACCGATCGGACCAGCCTACGAGATTGCATAATCTTTACAGGACGGTATATAACTACTATCATTTTCTCGACTCTCCTGCAATATGCACGGAATCGTTGACATGCTTTAATCCACGCATGAAATATCGCGAAAATATTATTAAAAATGTTATCTCAAAATTTTAAAGATTTTGTTTGATAAATATTTTTAAAATGTTATATTTCATTTTTAGATTTATTATCTAATTATGTTGTATTTGTCATATCGCTACCAAGTTAGTTTCGAATATTGGAGAATAAAACACGACTGTCACACATGGCATCTGGGTTAAAACCCAACAGGTGCAGACGTCGAGAGATTCAAAGGCGTAGAAAAATAGTTACGCGCGAGGCCTATCGGGCTTTTGCCTGTCACCGGCGTGTAACACATATCCCTTCGAATACGGATGAAAGCTCGAAGCCGCCGACGTATCGAGGCCCGAGGGTTGAGCACCCCTGAGCACAAGATGTCCTCCTGAAGACTATCTCGGTCCGGGTCCCGCGGGAAACCTCTTCCTTCCTGCCGTTCCTATCTCAGGACACTCTATAGCCTATTCAGATACCGGGCTCACCCTGCTTCTCTCTTGTTAGCCGCGCCGGGAGAGACGGAGCGAGTACACGCGAGAAGAAGAGCGAACAAGCGAGGTGGATGTATAAGAGAAGTCTATGTTACCATGGACGAGCAGCACCATGCACAAGGTAGAGAATGTATAAGTACGCCCGAGTACATATCCGAGTACTCTTCTACACGGCAGCCCCGTCGCATCTCGTAGAAAACGTATTTTGCAAGCCTAAATGTCCTAGGAGCCTGGTCACGACGGTACACGGGATCCTATCTTATACAGGCGAATCTCCTTCGAGAAGGAGTTATCTAGACCCTTATTTCGTAGATCGTTGAAAACGATGATGGTGTGAACGACAAGCTGATACGAGAGACGTTTCTACGGAATCGATGCCTACTGTCGTTACGTTTGCTGTCGTCGAGTCGAGATTCTGTCATGTGCGCTTTTGTATCGTGTAAAACCCGGCTGTTACGTAATGCACGCGAGATAAATGCGCGCGTTTAAGCAGATTACGGCAGCCGCGATATCGGCACGTTTGCTCCGCGAATGTTAGATAACAGATTCCACTCACCGATCGATGATGACAGGATCGCTGGGCGTTTCGTTCCTGTTGCCGCAGCTTTTCTTATCGCAGCATCGACTGTAAACAGAGAATGCGTTTTTCATCTAATTATTCGTACGTGGCAAAATTTATTTTTATAAGAAAGACAGGAATAGAAGCTCCAGAGGAGTCAGAAATTTCGAGTCTGCCTAAAAAATACCGAGACCCTTGGGATTCGGGAAGTAGGTAGCGGAAACTAGTGGTAGTGCGCTCCCGAAGTCCCATGGGTCACAATGAGTCAGCCACCCCCGGAGAACGACTACATCCCCGTATGCCTCGTTATGTTTATGCCACGAGGGTGGCTGCCTATACAGAAGAGGGATATTTTTCTAAACGCAAATAACGTAAGTCAAAGTGTGAAACAATTTTACTATAATAATTTTACTATAATTTTACTATAAAAAACGTCAGTAGAAATATTTTAATGACTCAAAAATAATCATATATATAAATAAAGACTTTCTTAAAATTCGTGTAAAGAAATGTGTGAATTCTTCTATTATAAAAATGATTTATAAAAAATATAAATCTTTTTCAAACATACCTGCACATAACTTCATGCGTTAAAAGGACACGGCACATTTCCGGATTCTTATCTTGTCCCTCGTACATGATTGCCTATAACAGAAAAAGAGCATGATGTATAAGTCATCAATATTTTTTTCTGTGTTCGCAATAAATAACAAATAAATCATTAATAACTTTTGATACGTGTAAGAAAGTTGCATTCTTATAAATTATTTTTATTTTTATCAAATTTATTCTGCTAACTTAAAAATATTTATATACATATAACTATAGCCATTGCTTATTTGTTGATTTTTTTCACATAATACCTGTCGTTAATTCTGTTTGTTTTCGATATACACGAGAAGACTTCTCTCACATTTTATTTTGAAGAGAAAAGTGCTAATTAGCGTGGACGCGGACTACCGGTGGAAGTAATTCAGTTCAGCAGATAATTCAACCATCGACGGGAAATATGTAACGTATTAAGCAAGCTCGTATGTGGACGCGAGATGAGAAGAGGGGCTACTTTCCCCGCAGGACTACTAAGCCATGGGCGCGGCGCAAGCAAATCCGTTAAGCCTCCTTCACGACCACGCGATTGATTTTTATTTAATGACAACACGTCGTTATCCGGTATTCGTGTACTTACCGATGGGGACCTTCGCGCGGATTAACTGTAGAATAACAAAGCGCGAATAGATAGGCTTGCGCGCTTTGATCTCATGTAAATAGTTCTTCGAAATGGGAGATTAGCTCATTTCTTAAACGCAGTCGTTATGAAAAAATTATCCATGTATAAAATTAAATTTATACATCATATATACGTGCTTCAATGTGACATTTATGTTTTGTTTAGTTTGAATTTTTCACGGTGTAAATTCAAAATATATTACGATAACGATCGTGTTATTGCTCTGATTTGAGAAAATTCAAGCGTTATTTTCTCGTTTCGAAAATTTCTTTATAGCGTGAGATCAAAGCGTTTGATGGAGCAAAACTTCAAAGAACGAACGTGTACAATCGCATCGATTGTATGCACGATTTCTACGCAATTTCGTGGTTTGCATAACAACCTGAATCGCTAGAGTTCGCGGAGAAGAGCGATAAAATGTAAATATTGTGAAATACAGTGTCCCAGGGAATTCGTCGAGTTGTGACGGCACCACCACCGCGCTTGGCCGGTTAAACGTCGGTGTATGACGGTAATGGTATCAGACACACTTGGTTCCGACGTATAGGTGCGACTTCCAGAATGGCGTCAAATATTTATGCGAGCGAAATAACCAAATTGCAACGTAAACGAACCGCGGTGGCTGCATATATCGCAATAGGTAAATCAGAGAGGGATCCGGCGTCGAAACGGAGACGTCAAGATGGAAAATAGAAGGGTAGGAATAAACATGGCGGAAAAGCGAGGGCTTGGGGTATCGCGCACGACGGCAGGGGAAAAGTACACGTTCTTGGTAAGTGCAAAGGAAGAAGTTATAGAACGTTACGTGCCGTCCGGCTATTACGAATCTTAATAGTAAAGGGACATGCAAACTTATTTGTATCAGGAATAATTAACATAAGTATGTACTTTGTACGTATTAACCCCTGTCGCGAGATAAAGCTAGTGTTTACTTACAACTTGAACAATTACAATTATGTTTTGTGTGAGAAATGTCGTTTGTTGTGTGAATCAGGATTTTTCATTATAGTTAGAAAGACAACGGACAATGTGATATTATTGTTACGTGAATTGATTTCACACAAAAATGTGTGATATTTATTAAAAATAAAACTTTTGAAAAATTAGTATATTTAACAATATAAAAATTTGTTTTTTACGAATAGTTATTTGCTTGTGTAATTACAAAAATATCTAAGATATATACAAATATGAAAAATCTTTCCGAATTATATAACATTTTATTTTAGGTGCACATTTCATATTTTTTCTTTATTATAAAGAGAATTATGTATAAAAATTGTTAATAAAGTTAGTAAAATTTCTTTGAAACATTATGTGTTAACACAATATTAACAAGACTTGTAATTTCTTCGTTATTTTCAAAAGCTTGTAACAATTAAGGATATCTAAATTTCTAACATTGAACTAAGAATACCTGGATTTCTGACAAAATCTAAAAAATTGTTGGATGTAATTATCTTTGATGTTTATGAATTTGTACATACGGGGTGTGCAATAATGGTCGGTTAAATATAACGACGGTCAGGTAGGTCATATATAGCACGTGCGACGTGACATGCAATATTATTTGCTTAGCGACTATTATCTGAGCTAGAATGGTTTTGTTTATTCTGTGCACACCCGCAATATGTGCGAACAATTTGTAAGCAATTACTTTTATCACACCTGCGCTCTCTCTCTCTCTCCTCTCTCTCTCTCGGAAACTAATCTGTTTGTTTTCTTCACTAAAAATATTGTTTCGATAGTACGTGTAATAAACAGTAGAATAACTAGATAAAACAAAAACCGTGTTTGTTCTTTTTGATTAATGTAAAACAATTACGATTAATAAATGAAATATTACACAGATGCAAAATTTCCATTAGAGGCTGTATCTCATAAAGTCCTGAATCATTACAGTATGCTGTACGTTCAGTTTACATTTTTACATGTGCCAGTCCCAAAAGAGGCGCCACAGTCTTTCTTCGCTCCTCAGTTTATTGGATATGGCGGGGTTATGTCGCAAGATGTCTCAAGGGTGAATGGCTAAAGTAGGCGAAGGGTGGTCGGAGGCAACGACATCAAACGGAGGGTCCTGGGGGTGCGACCAGTCAGTATGATCCCCTCGGGGGCCTTTCTTCCATTGCCTTTTGGTCCCACCAGGAGAATGTTTGGGCCCTCGCCGCAGTTTAATTCCCACGGGAATTACTTACTGAGGACTTATAGCGGGAGATCCTTCGAAATATCCGATCATAATCAATTCATATTTCACAATATTGCAATCTAAAGCATTAAAATAAAATTTTTTTTAGAATTGTAATACTGTCAAACATTTTCACATTGCGTTAGCAAGTGTAATAGCTAAGAAATCTTTAGCTGTTATCTTTAAAAATACTTGCAGATTTGGAAATGATAATCATATCACTATATATGCAATGTTATCAATTTTAATAATTCAACAATAACCAGATAACAAATAAAATCAGCGAAAATGTTATTATCGATATTCCATCTTATGTTTACTTTTGGATACTATATTATCGAAATCAGCAGCCAACAGACTGGTATCGCTTGGCAGTAGAAAAAGAATCGGTATGTATAGTAATAAAATGACGTAACGTCGTTCTCTCGGAGATGGCGGAAAGCAAAGAGGGAAGGATGCAGATAAATTCGAAGATAGTCATTCAAATCTGCCGTAATGATTTCCATCCCGAATCGATTCCAAAAGTCCCCTGGGAATCCCCCTCTATATCGGTTGGGCAACCTCCCGTACATACGCCGAACAACATGTATACAATGTTACCCTCGCCCCTGGAAGACTGTCCACCGCCTGAGGGGAACGGTCGGCCTCTCTTTCTTTTCTTATCTGCCTAGGATTAACTTATCTCGAACTTATTATTTCCTTAATCTATGGTTAAATACTCATATTTCAGTATTAGCTACAGGCACTTTATGCTGGAGAGACTGATGTCGGTTCAATTTGATAACTTAAGCTGTGGCTTCACAAATGTCACGTATTACAGACAAAAAAAATGCAAAGAAATCTTCAATCAAAGGATGAAAGAAAGATTTTCGTATAATCCGATCAAATATCGAGCCTTTTTCTTTTCGCGATATCTTGCAAATGCTATAAAATCGACACTCACGGTGAGAAAAATATTGACGGCTGGACCATCTCCAAAATTGTGCGGAGGGAGTTTAAAAAGGTTAAATACAATTTCCTGTTGTTCATTCATTTAGAATAACGGCGCCGCGCGGTCTCTGCTTCCTCCATACACACATCCTGTAAATGCTTTTTTATCCCCGGAACTAATTACCATTTAGCATTTTTAATCCCGCGAAAAAGCGCATTCTGGCTCTCGTTCGTCCCCCTCTCGCCGGCCGGAAGTTCGTTCCCGAGCGCTTAAAAGCGTACGTTGTTAGCGCCATTCAGCCACGCTGCACGAAACTCGTTTCTTTCTCGGGAAGCAGCTCGTATTTTTCTGGAAATTTCACCGAGAAACGCACGGTTCTCAACATCCTGTGCCCTTTTTTTTCCTTCCCTACTTTCTCTATCTCTTTTTCTCTCTCTCTCTCTCTCTCTCTCTCTTTCTTTTCGTTTGCGTCTCGTTGCACAGGCACTTCGCTCGCTGGAATTCCAGGAAGCGAACGTTGATATAGATACCTACCTTGGTGAGGAGCGAAGAAATTGAAGAAAAGCTTAAGGGTTGGGGGGTTTCACCACGAGCTCAGCGGCCGACTCGGTGTAGCCAATTATTGCGGATTTATAACCGAGCACCTGATTCGGTCTCGAGAAAAGTTGGCGCGTTTCCGAATCGCAATTTGCAAGCCGTAACTCGGCTTCGCGCTTGCGAGGAACGAGCTTGCACAGATACTCGTGAATTTTTCCATGTGAAAATAATGACGATAGTTTTACCAAAATTTACTACTACAAGTATTTATTTTAACGAAAAATCAAATTTTATAAGCGTCTTCGACCTATGAATATCAAATAAAAAACTTTAGCGAATGCCTTGTTATATACGAGATTAATTTACGCAATTTCTTTTGAGTTTATAAAAAATTCTAAATGTATCGGACAGTCATTACAAGAATAAAACTCATTATATTTTTAAGCCATTATCACAGCAACTTTGTGTGAAATCAGGGAGTTTCAATATAGGCTTTAAGCGATTTTTATCTTCCATGTTTTAATCATGGGTAAGCCTCGCGTTTGTCAATTTTCTAGAGAACAATGAACAGGGAGATGCATTGATCTGGATTTACTAAACATTTCGTGCATTTTGTTGCATGTAGCGGTGCACACAGACACGGCAAATATACATCGATTCTCCTGTCTATATCTCTTCCTCTCGTTCTGGCAGGGTGGCGGAGACGCGTTCAATCGAAGCTTTGATGTATAAATTGCAGCTTTCTCGTTTTCGATTCTTCCCCTCCGCCCTCCCAGCTTTCTGCTCCTTTTACCAGCATGATTCCTTTATAGAATCGAGAAGGGTGTCTCGGCATCTATCTATCACTTCCGCTTTTCTTTTCTTTATGGACAATCGTCCTCGAACACTTTCTCGACCTCCTTTTCTTTTTCATGTTCTCAACTTACTTCTCTCTCTCTCTCTCTCTCTCTCTCTCTCTCTCTCTCTCTAGCATATAATTTTTCTTTTACATAAATTATATATAATATTATATTATATATATATGCAAAATTTATACTAGATATACATATACATATATATTTTTTTTCTCTTTATATTTATATGTCATGTTATTATTAGATATAACAATTCTCGTTTCTTTTCGAATTTGTGAATGTTACAAGCATTTGTGCTATATTTCACATATGCAGTCAAAATATCTCTTTAAAAAATCGCATTATTTTATATATAGATATCGAGAAAAATTATGTTTATTAGTTAATAGTTTAGTATTTTAAAATTAAATATCCGTGTCCAACATTTTTTTTTATTAATTTACTTTTTATTTTGCCATTTACTTTGAAAGTTAATGCATATCGATCACCCTCTATCCTAACCATTCAACCCTATGACGTCCCGGATCCGATTAATAAAAGGAATGGATCGCGAATTGAGGACCGGTCTCTGCCGGTGCAAGGCCACCGCGGCTTAGTAATTTAATCAGCTAAAACTAACATCAGCTCTGTTTCCCCAACCCTCCTCCCATTCCTTCCTCTCTCCGCTTCCTTCTTCTCTCTACTACTACCCTCTTCTTACCTCGGTAACCGACCAACCCCAAGATGATTTAATTTGCTAAAATGCTGCGCATATCTATAGGAACTTGTTAGAAGCTCGACTCGACACGAAACAAAATAATTTTAAGAAATTTATATTTCTTCTTTGCATTCATATTTCTTCTTTGTAATTTATATCTAATAATTTAGAACTTTTACTTATATATATAGATTAATAATGTTTTTTTTATTTAAGTAATAAATATAATTTTTAAACGTTTTTCTAAAAACTCTTTTTTTAGAAAGAATCAATAAAGTGTATATGAAATTAATAGAATATATCTCATTTTTTAAGTTATGACTTATGTATGAATATGCCTCATAAACACATTTAAACGTTGAAAATTGCTCGTACATCCGTCCGCTTACTTTTATTTACATATTCTATTTAACTTGCACGGTCTAGTCTCGTTTCTCTACGTGTCGTATGACATCTCATAGGTGTGAAATATACTTTTCACGAAAGTGTCGTTGCCTAAAAAGTACCCCCGGATGAACATAAAAGAACTTATCGCAACCATGATCGCGCCCGTGTATTTGCGTTTGCACGAAGGTTGTGATCCTTCTTTGCACCCTTATCGGAACGCGGGGATCTTGACTACGTCCCTGGGTGCGGGATCACAACACGTGGTTCGCGGGCCGCGCGCAGAGTTCGCCACGTGGCGCAGATAACAGGATGGGACAGCCGCGCGCAGCGATGTGCCTGCTTTCCCCGGAGGGGTAAGAATCAACCCCCCGGAAAATTAAGTGCTTGTAGCCGAGATGATAACACCCCCGTTCACGTGCGCGCATCGCTACGACGATTTCGCACGAGTCTTGTTGCGTAAAAATGGCAAAAGAGAGTGATGCAAAAGTTGCTTGCGTAAAACGAGAGATGATTGCTATATTCTCTCTTGAATTGCTGTCTGATATAATACACGAGATACATCCCGCATTATATTGTTGCCAAATACATATATTTAAAAATTGAGCTATATATTGAAATTTATATTATAAAAATAAAAGATAATTTGTTTTTTGCAATATGATAATAATTATAATAAAATTATTACAATTATTAAGAAATAGTTACAGGAAGTAATAATTATTTAAAAATTGTACTAAAATATTTAACAGCAATATTTATTAATTACGTATTAAAAAAATTTTTTAAAGTCATGATAATTGAAACATAAATTAATTCTGAACGAAATATACTTGTACAATAAAAATATTAGAATAAGATTTAAATAAGAAATTAGAAATAAAGATATTAGTACTTACTTGTTTTGTCGCGGAGTCTATAAGCCTGACGTAAATATCCTGCACCTGCCTGGCACCTAAAAAGATAGATAAAATAATGTTAGTTTAAACATATTGATAACAGATTAAGATAATATTATTGTTCTACAATTTTGCTTTTTTCGCGCATCTTAATAAAAAGTGCCATTAAGCAAAGAAGAGTTTCACGCAGGAATTTACGACGAATGGTTACGAAAGGAATACGACGAATATGGAAACGTGCCCAAATTTTGTCAAATATATCGCCGCTGAGAGCATGTCTCTCAGAAAAAGTTGCATATTAAGGAGTATTTGAAGTCGACGGTGATACAAAGCGGCTTGTTCTTGTCTTCGATACGTATGCACAATCTTTCTCCTTGTTTGTATCGATTCTTACTCTGCTTTGAAACGTCGAACACCGACATCACCGCGCATATCTCACAGGAAACGAAACGCACGTATGCGTTAATTATCGTTGTGCTCTTGCATGTTTTCTCGAGATACAAATTCGAACTTGAAGAATTCGACGATCGATGATATTCACGCATGCGAGGCTTTAAGGTAAATGCGATTTCCAATTAGGGAACATCAAAGACGTTCCACGTCTTAATGTCGTGTACAAATAAAAAAATTTTCAGGTCTGTAATTTTTATTTCTTTCGTTTTATAATTACAACTGTCGCGCAAAACAACATATACCGCGGAAAAAATGTTAAGAAAATTGCGGGATACTAGTATCGGCAGGCTATTATCGCGCGTTATCAGGATCGTAATTACAGTTCGCCTACAATGTGCGTCTCGGCGTTGCAAGTTTTCGAAACTGTTCCTTCCTTCCTGGGGGAGTCCCGGGTAATCCCGGGGTGTATTTCGGACAGACACCCCCGTGGCTTCCGGCTTCGCGTGCCCGGTAAGCCAAGTAATCCCGACATAAGACTCCCAGACCCGGGCGGGCGCCCAGGTCCAGGCTCACCGCCGCATAACGTTATTGCGGATTACGATACTCTGCTCGAAACTAGCTCACAAATTACCTCGAGAAACCGTCGCGGCTTTACCGGAAGTTACGTACGCAGTCGACCGGTTTACCGTATCCGTGGCCATGTCAGGATTTGCAAATACGGGTCGACGCTAAACTGACCGAATAACTGCTGCGAGAGCTTCCGCCAGAATATCTGGCTTTCTCTGCTACAAGTATTCTAATCAGTAACGATCCAACATGGAGAAATATAAATTAGATATTTTTTACAGACGTAATACAAATAAAACAGTTAAAGTAAATATGATAAGAAGATTTAAAGAAATTATATGATTCTGATGTCTCGCAACGTGATATCTTTTGAAAATCTACAAAATTTTTTATTTTCCAATCATAAAAGATTTTATACGTTAAAATACAATGCAATTTTACTTAAAAAAATACATTAAATGTCATTCAATTTTCTAATCATTAAGATTATCTACCTTTGCTATTGACGTATTAATTCTTAGAAAATTTAAAATAATGAAAGTAATCTTATAAAAGTGCAAAAACGAGAATAAGTTTTTTTCTTTAAACGCTGATTCATTTTATATTCGGTTAAAGGACTTGGAATGTAATTATAAGCGTGCAGAATGCCGCGCGTCAATCTTATCGCCAACGGCGCGGCACTTCTCGATTCGCAGCGACGACGATAAAGGTAAGCGATGAAAAACACGCTGAATAAGAAAGATGACTCGCGTGCCATGTCCCGCTGAGTGGAGGCAAATAAGTCTAGGTCGGCTGGCATTAGCATAACTAGGCGACCAGGTTCAAAAGGGGGGCAAGAACAATCTCTCGAAAAAGCAGACACCGCCCATTCTATCGTTCTGATCAGCGATCCTTGATCAGCGGCGCTTTTATTATGCACCGCATTATATTCCGCCGGGTACAAACTCGTGTATTTCGTCTTTGTCTCTATTCTCCGAATACGTGTTGTATGTTTCTTATCGCTCGTGTGCGCAACGATGGCACGAGAAGCATGCAAGAAAAGAGTAGACGATGTAGACAAGGAAGAGAAGGATGAAGAGAAAATGGAGCGCGCAGGAAGAATGAGCGATGACAAAAAGGAGTAGGGCCCGATATGGGCGAGAGCCCGTCGTCACTCGAACCGTAAGGAACGCTCCTTATTTATTATTTAATTATAGATTTATTGCCTGGTCGCGCGCGAAGCGATCGGTGAATGCCGTGACGTGCACGGGAACACCTGATGTGGATCTGCCAGTGTAACGGTGGACTTGGAGAGACGAGGCATGTCCGCGATCCAATTTGTCTCCAGGGCATAACATTCGTTCGCGCGTGCACGTGGCAAAGTATTTCGTGCATGAAACTTTTATAAACGACACGACAGTCCGATCTACGGCGCATAAATCAGAGCCGCACAGATGTATCGATCGACTGTAAAAAGCATGGCTAGTAGTGTACTACTCGCGTGCGATAATGTATAAACTTCGTTACATCATTGTGTTCTCGATAAAAGTAAGGAATTTTTTAAACATGTTTTTTTTTAAATTTCTCGTATAGTTAATATTTATAATTAATATTTTTATATTTCAATGTTTGATTATGCATTGAGTACTTTTTTCTTTTCTAAATATATGATTATTATTCAATAAACTTTTATTTTTTAAATGAGAAATTAATCGGTTAATATATTTATTAGATATTTTTTATTGTTGCTAACAGAAAAAGCAACGCAAAGTCATTCAGATTTATATTAAGAAATAAGCAACAAAAAAAACATATTTTTTAGATTAGATTTGAAAGCAGTACACACAGTTTAGTTCATTAAATTTAAATCCTCCAATTGCTTCTGTTTTGATAGACGAACGTTTTTCATGTTTGTCGATCAGGATTCTGATACGCAAAGCCGGCCGCTGACAAGATACGTATGGCATCGCGTTTGAGAGAAAGCAGAGACAAAATTGCATAATGATAAGGAGAGGCAAGGACGCAAACAGATGAGAGAGCACGTATTCTCTTGTAGAGAATACAGGCGAATACGCGAGACCGAGAAGCGGTAACCGGAATACGATGAAGAAACGCTCGAGAGAGAGACGAAAAAGTCGGCTGAGAGACGCGCGTTGGCATTTCTTAGTTTGCAACAGTTAGTTGTTTCTTGTTCGCGATGTTGACGACACGTTTTAGTGCCCATAGATGGGAGAGCGGTCCCTCAGTCAAGCCTCGATCAACGCAAAAATCTTGCATTGATTGATCGGGCCCCGACAACGGGGGAGAGGGGGTAAGGGTGCGCTGTAGTATAAATCCCGGAAAAAGGAAAAACGGAAAGGGCAGAAGAAAGGACGAAGGGTAATTTCATAGCGGCGACGAAGTGGGGACGACGGCAAAAGAACAAGGGATAGAGAGATGACCGCGGCTTGTTGACGTTACTCGTGGCGTATATGGAGCGAAAAACTGTAGGGCCGGGGACCTGCGTATAGCGCCTTGCGGCTTTTTAATATGTTCGTAATACGAGGACGTTTTTCGGGGGTCTGCTGGTCGGTCGGACCACCTTCAAACTACTTCGCTTCTTCTGCTCTCTTTCTCGCGCGCACATTCGTGCGCTTCTTCGAGACGGAAGCTGGACCTTTTTTGCCACGCTTGGGCCAGTGACGTAAAATATGTCTGTGTTGCGGGCGGGCTTCAAAAGTCCCTGAACTTTTTAGCGGTCTTAAGAGACCGGGTGTCCATATGGAATGTCAATGGCCCGTCATCATCGCTGTGAATGGGGTTATTACGTACCCTATCCCTCCTCTACGCCAACAAATACGCATTTGCTGATATTGATTCAAGAGTCTATCCAGTCGTGATATCTGAATGTGATTTGTAAATATTCATTCATATGCGTACCTTATTTCACGCATTGATTATTTTATCGAAAATGAAGTGGTTAATATTTAGTATAAACACTCGGCGCATTAATTACTAAGTAATCAAATGTATGGAAAAACAAATTATTAAATCTACTTTGTTGATGGTTGAAATTAATACAAATGGGCACGTTTAAACAATCAATAAATTATTTTAATAATTGAAATCCTATAGATTATTTTTGCTACTCACCATTGGAATAGAGTAGATGTAGACTGTATTGGATACCGTTGTTCGTTTTTTGGCCTTCGGACTCCTGTAAAAAGAGACACACAGTACATGTAAATAATACAAATTATTAATTGTCTGTATTTTTAAATTATGTATCTACAAATTTTTTTCGGCTGAGAGACGCGCGTTGGCATTTCTTAGTTTGCAACAGTTAGTTGTTTCTTGTTCGCGATGTTGACGACACGTTTTAGTGCCCATAGATGGGAGAGTGGTCCCTCAGTCAAGCCTCGATCAACGCAAAAATCTTGCATTGATTGATCGGGCCCCGACAACGGGGGAGAGGGGGTAAGGGTGCGCTGTAGTATAAATCCCGGAAAAAGGAAAAACGGAAAGGGCAGAAGAAAGGACGAAGGGTAATTTCATAGCGGCGACGAAGTGGGGACGACGGCAAAAGAACAAGGGATAGAGAGATGACCGCGGCTTGTTGACGTTACTCGTGGCGTATATGGAGCGAAAACTGTAGGGCCGGGGACCTGCGTATAGCGCCTTGCGGCTTTTTAATATGTTCGTAATACGAGGACGTTTTTCGGGGGTCTGCTGGTCGGTCGGACCACCTTCAAACTACTTCGCTTCTTCTGCTCTCTTTCTCGCGCGCACATTCGTGCGCTTCTTCGAGACGGAAGCTGGACCTTTTTTGCCACGCTTGGGCCAGTGACGTAAAATATGTCTGTGTTGCGGGCGGGCTTCAAAAGTCCCTGAACTTTTTAGCGGTCTTAAGAGACCGGGTGTCCATATGGAATGTCAATGGCCCGTCATCATCGCTGTGAATGGGGTTATTACGTACCCTATCCCTCCTCTACGCCAACAAATACGCATTTGCTGATATTGATTCAAGAGTCTATCCAGTCGTGATATCTGAATGTGATTTGTAAATATTCATTCATATGCGTACCTTATTTCACGCATTGATTATTTTATCGAAAATGAAGTGGTTAATATTTAGTATAAACACTCGGCGCATTAATTACTAAGTAATCAAATGTATGGAAAAACAAATTATTAAATCTACTTTGTTGATGGTTGAAATTAATACAAATGGGCACGTTTAAACAATCAATAAATTATTTTAATAATTGAAATCCTATAGATTATTTTTGCTACTCACCATTGGAATAGAGTAGATGTAGACTGTATTGGATACCGTTGTTCGTTTTTTGGCCTTCGGACTCCTGTAAAAAGAGACACACAGTACATGTAAATAATACAAATTATTAATTGTCTGTATTTTTAAATTATGTATCTACAAATTTTTTCTAACATACAAAGCTTACAATGGTTATCGGTCTCGCGTTCTTCGCGCTCTGCTCTATTTTAATTAAGTGCATCGTGACGCAACGCCTGTGTGTGCCCAGCCTGCTCCACCTCACGCTAATTATTAATTTCTTGATGCGCCGGTAAGAGCCATGCCATTACGTATGGCGTGCGATGCATAATTATCATCCTGCCCCGTTGACGAGTCATGCGTGCATCGTGCCATATGCCGCGACCGCGGTAATGCATTTTCAACTACCAACCCCCGGAACATCATGGTCGCTGGTACACCCACGACTGTGCCCCTCTCCCTTCCCCCTCCTCTCCATGCCGCAACCACGACTTTTAGTCGTGCATACGACCTTTCGCCTCGAGGATAAACGTTGGCAGCTCGATCGATTCTACGTCAAATTAACGTAATTACGCATAAAGATGTGTAGTAAAACTTCGTCTCGCTGTGTTATTATATTGTCCACGCAGACGCGATGTTATACAATGATCTAGAATATTCTTCTAATAGATCGCGTTAACTTTTTATAAATTTTGTATAATTTTTGTGAGATGAATTAATTAATATGGCATACCGATTGTATTCGACAAATGTTATGGCAGAAGAAAGATTTTTAATTTGATATTGTACTCAAATATATTAAGGAAATAATATCTAATCACGGATAGTAAAACTATATCGATAATAAATATATGTACATTTATAAACTTATATATACATACATGTGTAATAATCTTTCAAATGCAATAAAATTTATATAAAATGTGTGTATAAAAAAAAAGGAAAAAATTGTAAATTTTTCTTTCATCGTATTTTAGGTTTGTCATGGACAATCTCATACTTTCTACCTCTCTTATATTTTTAACTTGACTGTATCGGTTACTCCATTTCGATGAGTTCCGCAGGAGATATCAAGATTATAGCTTATCAGCTTAAGCTCGAGAATAGTCGACGCGAGTAAGAACACCGCATAAATCCATCGCAAGATTTCTCGACGAATGAACGAGAAGTGATCATTTTTGTAACGAAATATTCCCCGCACCACTCATATCCGCGTCCGCTTCATCGGATAATCGGCCCTACTTCGACCGATCGGCGTCTGACCGGCGACGTCTTTCTTCCCTTTTTTCCGTCGCGCGCACGGCACAGTCCGAGCGCACGCATTAAGCTCTTTCCTGTCATCGGCGTTCGTCGCGACCATTAATCTCTAAATTCGTCCGGCGTACACGACGGACGTTAATCAGATATACACGCGGATAGGTCGAGCTACTCTCTCTCTCTCTCTCTCTCTCTTCGTCTGCTGACTACTTTTTAATTAAACACGAGCAAAAAGTGGATGGAACGGGAAAATGCTAGGTATTTATCTAGAACCATTTTTTCATTGGTGCGTACGAGCATCGTAGCTGTTGTTTGTCGAGTAGCGAGATCTCAATTCGCATGCTTGTATATTGCCGTCCGTGACAAGCTATCGTCGTTTTACGACAAAAATTACTTACGCAAAAATTTCATACGATTTCAGTCAATTGTGATGTACATTTGCATTTTAATTCTTATAGCAAATAAAAATAAAATATGTTTTTAAAATTTGTATGAGTTAATTCTAGAGTGCTATCAATAATTATTAATATCTTTAGCATAATTTTAAACATGTGTGATAATTTTGTTTGTGCTTTAGTATATTGACCATAGTTACTGTAATCTTTTTTCATTGTTAAAAAGAAATCGCGTTAAAATGTGCACGGTAACTCTTGACGGAAATATTTCTACGCTATAACTGTAGTAAAACATACAATTCCGATTAAGACCGGCAATGGGCCGAAGATGTGTGATTCGAGGTACGAACTCGGCACAGGGTTGATGCATGTCCGCGGTGCATGACCCTAATTAATAGGGAGGCCACGCGATGCAACTGTCCCGACAACATAAATTATGCACGTATTATAAGGTCAGAATGGGAGAGGAGAGAGGAATGAGCGAGAACGTTATAGATTTATGGAAAGATGAAGTGACAGATGCTGAAAAGAACAATGCCAAGAATAAAAGAAATATTCGATTAATATCTGTTTCATGTCAACTTTTGCGAATCTGGTATTGGAATAATATAAGTTAAATTCAAAGTTTACGTTATATTATAGAAAAATAATTTCAGGCTAAGTGATGTATCATTAAATCGGCTGCAAGAAACTTTCTGAGCCAGAAATATTAGGAGTCACATTAATATACATAGAATTTAATTTTCTAATTATTTTATCATATTACATATAATATTAAAAAGACATTAATTATTTCGCCTTTTTATGTACGTTAGATTGATGGAGCCCAACTCGATTTGTCCAATTTTCCGAATCGAAAATCGCGCTCTGTTACATTCTTAAATCCACATCCAAGAACGCGATCTATACGCCTCTCTGTCGAATTAGCCGACGATTTATGGCGGATAGATTTATTAGGGGGTGTACCTCGTTACCCCAGGGTACAGAGGAATAGAAAGAGAAAGACACAGAGGAAGACACGAGAGAGAGATAGAGGGACTTCCGACAGAGCATCGTCGTTATACGTACGGGACTTGCCAGAATTCCAGAGGTTACGGCCGGGATTACGTTTCGATAATTTATACGCGCGTGGACCTTGGCTCGTCCTCGTGTTGTGCATGTGGATTTCCGTCGGTTGTTCGGTATATACGATGGTGCACTATACTACATCGCTACGTATTGCATTTAACGTTAGATCCGATCGATCGATGTACGATGTAATACCATAAAGCGCGTGATGTATGCTGGTTGTTTTGCGCGTACATACCGGAGATGTGTATACTTGTGCAAATCCGCGCGTCTCTCGCTCGTTTGTCCGCGCGATCTCTCAACGTAACGATTTCTCTTGCGCAAGAATGGATGCTGCGTCGCCCGGCGGCAGTTAACTTCTCCTTAAACAGCTATACTAATTGACCAATAGAAAGTGGAGCTCTAACGATGACTGAACGCTGACAATCGCGTCCCGTTTGAGAGCATTCTTTCGGGGTTGCGATCGTTCCCCGCGATAACTCTAGCGAGCGGAACTTGGATTCACAGCTGTTTGACGGTTTTCATTGTGATAGATTATCGCGTTATTCACTGCCGATTCGGGAAGTATATAATTATTCAGCAGCTGTCATTTAATTTCCATATATATAGAGTCACAATTTATGTGTTTTAATTATTGTCTAAAATCTGTGCAATTTATACATAATCTGATACAATCATAATTGTATTATAATTTATAAGATTAATATATAATAAACAGAAAATAATTATTTCAAATGCGATCTCTATAATAACATTGTTTCCGAGCTGCCGTTATGACTGACTTGTGATATCTAGGACAGCGAAAAATTGAGCGTAAAAAATAGCTTCGTCACATTTCACAGCCACGACGTGAAAGGTCTTAAAGGTATACGAGCAAAATGCCCTTTCGTATATATATATACATATAACCGTATCGTGTCATAAAATATATAAGCGTATGATAGAAAAAAATTCATTGTATATCGCTATATAATTAGCTGGCGACTGTATCGTCGGCAATTACGGTAATTTCTCGTAAAGGCCGATATTTCTGGCGCGCGCGGGTGCGCTTGGTTAACAAACGCTTCACAAAGCGTAATCTCCGATCGAAGGTACGACGAGAGAGCGGTGAGGGAAGGCGCTCGAAGGGCGCTCTTTATTATTCGTAGGTCATTCGCGCTTCGCGTGACCATCCCCGGGGCGATCCTGCATCGCGTCCATTCCTCACGCGGCCGATGGATTTTCGCCTGTCCGGCTAATTGCCGGAAAAGAGACGCCGGTATGGATTCTACGGACTATCGATACGCGTATACGCGTAGGCGTTGCTGTTTAATATTTGACGCCGGCACCGATGGAAACGGCAATTATCGAGATAAGCGCGCGCTCGCACGATATTCCCCGGCGTCATAAAGGGCCTCCTCTCTCCTTTTTTCCATCCGGCCTCCCGGGAGAGCGGCGGTTAGGGCGAAGCATTGAAATTCCGAACTTATCACTCGCTATCGTCGCTCTATCGTCATTTCCACCGGTATTCACAAACTCTTTCACCGCCATCGACGCGCTTTTCTGAAAAAAAAGTCTCGATGCGATCGCGGTCACCAAGTTTTTTAAGTAACATGCGGATCATTTTTTTTTTGCGCTATTCACTAAGATCTAGGACAGTGACTCGCGGTTATCAGCTGATGAAATTCGCGGATCGAATTCGGTGGAACTTTTAAGACCGTGCGAAGAATGTAATAGCAGAAATCATTACCTGATCTTTCTCGACGAAGCCCATGAACGACGTCCTCTCGATCTCGATCGGTTGGCCGTGTCGATCGTAGAGAGCGATTACAAAATGGAAAAAATTGCTCTTCCTCAGATTACTCGGCGGTTGTTTCTCGAAATGCGCTCGGCCCACGCCAACTCTGTTCAATCAATCAGATACGACACATTTTAGAATGTCATATATTAAAAATATCTTTCTTTTGCATTAAAATATAAATATTTGGCAAAAAACACATTATTATAATAATTTAAAAAATAAAAGAATTTTTAAATTTAATGGAATTAATTGTATTGTGTAATTTATAACAGATTTTGTTTTTTTATATATACATGCAAATATGATTCACACTATCTGTTGATTTAGTGAATCTCTTTTACACGAATAAATTTATACGTATGATGTAAAGATAATACTAATTTTTATTTCATCAAGCGCGCAAATAATCTTTAATATTTGGCAGCCTTTAAAGTCAAGTGAAACGTTATGCTCTTTATCGTGGAATCGAAGAGATGCATCAGTCTTTGGGCGCAATAAGAATGTCCAAACCGGCAGAGAGGAAAGACAAACGAGGTCGACTGTGGGGAAGCGCGCAGGTGGCCTCAACGCCTTAAAATCCCATTAAGGTCTCATGTGCCGAGATTAGGCCGCCGGACTCCATGCCATCTTTGAGTAATGGCACGGAAAGTCCCCTTTTCAAGTACGTTGCGCTTTGCATAGTTCACGTGTGAATATCAAATTCGATGTTGATAGATCTTGAACATCTTTATCATCATTTTATCGTTATTCTTTCATATACTCTTTGATGGTAATAATTAAAACCTGAGATATAGAATAATTATTATATTGCCTAAATTTATTACAAGTCTCTGAGCAGTTCTTTCTGTTTCATTCTATCAATTTCTTTTCAATAACGGAATGTAGAATTTGTCAAACTTTTTACCGATCGCAACGATGAATCGTTGTCAATTCATAGTAAATATGATTGCGGATTTAAAGGATTTTTTGACTTTTCCGTAAAACGTATATTGTACTCGGCGGTTAAAAATCACCGCCGAGAAATCGCATTATCGGCGCTAGTCTGTGTGTGTGTGTGTGTGTGTGTGTGTGTGATCGTGCCGTCGCGAAACGATAAAACCATCGCACGACTGCAGAGAGCCGCGCGCACGGCCATCAGGGCGGACCCTCGGAGCGGAAAACTGAATCGACTGGACCGAAAATGAATAGCGGCAGTTTTGCAGCACATTTGCGAAATAAATGATGGTATCGGCGGTGCGTTTGTCACGCCAGGTGGTGGGACGCCGAGCCGCCGGCAGGTTGGGGGAGGAAATGCGGAGGACGGCGGCAAGAGGGGGTTCGGTTGCAACGCGGGGCTTTTCGGGTACGAGCGGCGGGTGGATCACGGCAGGGGTGGACGCGTTGGTTAGAGGAAGGGGAGTGATGTACTGCCCGTGTCGATAATTATCGGTGGCTGATTAACCGGTCGCCGGTTCGCGCCCCATAACTCTCGACGTCCGATTATTTTGCCCCGTTTGCCATGCACCAATTCCTATATAACGTGTAGGCACGTTCCGCCGTACCGTTATATTATCGCCGGCACCGATGCACCACCACTCCTTTTCGGCCGACTATCGAGGATTGCGGAAAACCGCGCATACGCGTGCAGTTTGTATCGCTAATATGACAATAATGCGTATGCGGTTATCGGTGCGTGTGCAAACTTACACGTAAATTAGAGTTTGGAGAGGAATAAATTTTCAAATTTAAATCACACTTTGATATTGATTTAAAAAATGTCACGTTATCTTCAAATTATTTAAAAATTTTAAATTTTATAAGTATATGTATTTTAAAATATGAGTCGGGATGTTTTGTAAAATAATAATATATGTAAATTGAAGATTGTAGTATAATGTGTCCTAATGAAATTCTTTATATTTTATTAATCTTCAAGAAAAGCAGATAAATTCGAGGAATATGATATGTAAATTTAGAAAAGGAAACAAGAAATGCAAATTCGTAGTTTGTTAATTATGTCATAATTTTAAATATATATCATAGCAAACAAGTTTATATATATTTTTCACGATATTCGTCTCTTAAACGGCTGTTTTTTGCACTGTTTCTCATACTGAGACTGTCACAGAACGCTCAAACGTTTATGAGTTACGTTGCACAATTATACGAGGGTAACGCGCGCTTCACGCGCTTATACCAGCGCGCGTGTTGCTCGTTCTACCGACCGACACCGAGGTGATAATTACGGGCTCCATTCACGTTTACTGTATTTGTGCGTGCAATTTGCCACCCGCGCACTTTCGGCTCGCAGATAACGCTCTGATGCTCGTTCCGGCACCTGCGAATCATTTGATCCCCCGCCGCTATTCCACCACGATGATCATTCTTTTAACTGTAACGTCGTGCGATTCGATTTGTAGATTGAGGACGATTTTTTAAAACGCGACATATATTCAAATACGCAAATAAAAAGATATAAAATCCGCTGGAAGACATAATTCGTTCTTCGAATTTCAATGCAATTTCTTGATCGCGAGAAGAGCTGCGCGAATTTATTACACGAGTAGGTATCGCAAGATTATACGAACACCGGCGAATAAAAGCGGCACATACTCGCGGTTTACGAACCGTGCGGATGTGAAGTTATGAGAAGAATTGCGCTTTATATCACGTTAGGAAATTACGACGGAGCTTTTTCACCCCTCCGTGAAATCTGTGGAATCATCCACGTACCAACCAGATAACGACGTAATCGACATTTAAGCGATGACAAGGCGTAATCTACGATGCATTCGAAGTAATGGCGGATTGTCGGATAAACGATCGATATTGCTTATATTTTATACACGAAATTGCGACCTATGCTATTTGTGCGCCGTACATTATGAATGAAATATGCGGATAATACGAACCCACCGATATGGTTACGAATTCACGGATAAAGCAATCGTAGAGAATTACAATAAATCCGCGGGTAATACGCACCGTCGGGCGTTAGTTATTGCGAGTTACCCGAAGCACACTCTGTTTACGCTCGCACCCAACGCGATTCATAATGCGCACGGAGATAATGAGCAATTTGTAATATATCCGAATGTAATTTGCTATGAGCATGCGTTACCGCGAGCGTTGTTCAATTTAGCATGTTTCATCGTACCTCTTCTGCACATAAAAATCTATTACTTATTAATAGACACACGAAGCGTAGGTATATATATTTTACAAATATTTGGCATGAGAATTTTCGCGGTGTAATAAATAATTTTCATATATATTTTAATTAAGTTAAAATAATTATATATTAAAGCATACACATTAATCGGGTAGGATATAAATTAATAATACTTAGATTTATAATTATCTTTAAATTATAAAATATGAAATTTAATTAATGATATGTTATAAATATAAAAGCTATTTATTTTTTATTATAAATAAGCATTCGTACTATGATACTTTACGATACGTACATATGTACTACGATATGTCTTTTTCCAGATTTGTCAGACGACTAACCGTTTCGAAGATTGATTGCAATTTTTCTCCTGCTCGTTTTTTTTTTTTTTTTTTTTTTTTCTTCTTTATCTCTGATTCATATGCGAAGCCATCGTTTTTTCGTTGCGCGACAGACCCTTCCGTCGAGTGCGATAGTTTATTGCTTCATTAGGTGGATAACTTTTTTAGGAGTTTTTAAAAAGCGTCAGAGTTTATACGCCTCTGTTTCGCGAGAGTTTTAAAACAATTTCGCAAACCTTTGTTCACACTCTCTCTCTCTCTCTCTCTCTCTCTCTCTAGTTGATCTCGATGTAACGCAGTTGTGTGGTACAACCGTTCTTCGTAGCAGGAAACGAAACTTTCTAGCTTGAGTTTCCGTGAAGGCGAAAGTTGACGCTTAACATTTTGCGACTCTTAAACTTTTGTAAGACAATTTATCTAGATTGCCGCAACATTGATTTAATTAAGTTTAATAAAAAGAAAATTTATGCTTTAAAATTTTGATGTAAATCGTTATGTATTTCTCAATCATTTGAGTCATTTACTATATTCATTATTTCAACATGATACAATGATTTTCAAATTTTATAATTTAATTATGTAAATTATAAATAATCCATTTTATAAGTTCTTTAAGATGGTTAAATTTATAAATTATATACATACAAATATAACTAATTGAAAAGTATAATTATATAATTTGCATTGAAAATTTTTAAGTAATCTTTGTGTATCTTTATGTATTTTTATTTTTCGTTAGAGTCTTGTAATATCTCTAAAGCGCAAGCAGCTTTAATAAAATTATTCGCGCTTTAGTTTCGCGAGTGTGGGACGAAATAGTTGCCTTTCCTTTCGAAGAGGCTCCGATAGCCTGCAGGAAGAACGATTGGATAAACGAGGGGGAAAGTACGGTGAAAGTCCGGGATGAAGCGATGAGCAAAAGGCGCTAAAATTCTCAATTACATTAACTCGATTCCGGTCGGTCCTCGTGTCACGGTACTTGGAGGAAGGGATTAGTTAGAGAACCGCTATTGGATTAGCGAATCCGCCGGCTCACCCGGTTTACCTTGTCGAGTAGTCGTAGATATTTGTGCCATCGTCGTTTGCACGTCGTACAAATCCTTTAAGCGAGACTGCAATAAAGCACGCTTTATCGTTCGCCAAACGCAGGAACGTGTGCATCGCGATTTGAAACGATACGCTCGTGAAAATAAAGGGACTATCTGTTTTCATAGCACGGAACAGTAGCTATGCTGTCAATTTTCAGCGTTATCATCTATGGAACGATGTGATAATGGCAAAGAAAAAGATAAAATTATATAAATTCACCGTATCCTACGATGAGACAAAAAGAGGAAAATTACATTTTACTGACTTTTTGAAAAGTAATAAAAGTGAGCTTTATATTACTGTGAAAAAATCATGTCTCTTTAAATCACTTTTTTATTTGTTTCTTTGATAAATTTATTATTTGTATATATGTATAAAATTGTTTTTTGATTGTGTATTTATGGTAAATGTATTTATGTATCTGAAATTGTCGCAATTTTAGTGAATATTGAGTTTTAAGGACTGCGTAGGGATATAGCTCGCCGTGCGATCCGACGGCAAATGTCATAACAGGAATACGAATATATTTGCACAATTTATATTAAAGATGAATATATTTCTATATTTTATGTTATCATACGCTGTGATTAATTATTACAATAAGTTAAAATTTTTGAGCAAAACAATTTTAATGTCATACAATATGTACTTTGTTTTCTCCAGACAAGCAAATGACGAAGTAATATAATATATATAATATGTCTTTAAATATAGTTTATATACTGTTTTAAAATATAAATATCACACTTTACAAATTGATAGTAACAAAAATTTACCGCGTGATGGCAATTTCGCTCCTTGTTAAAGTTAGTAGAAACGATATTGTGCGTAAAGCCTTTTTCTTTTTTTAAATTGCTGTTAATTGCAAAAAATTAATTATGTAATACTGTTATGTCACACGCATATATTCAGATTATATAATTTATTAAAGAAGGGCCAAATTACTCATTCATATCACGCAAAAAACCTTACAATAAGACAGTTATTGACATATCCTCGATGAAATCGATCGTTGTAATAAAATCGAATGAAGGGAATAATTAATACAAAATATTATTTCAACAATAAACATTAATTTCTTCCTAATAATATACCTCCGCCAATAAATACATCTAATTTCACACATATCTCGATTACTCTTTGTCAAATATAAGAATTACATTTTTATGTACTTACGTTCCGTTGTCGGCGAGCGCGGGCTGCGGCCAAGCACGTGGTACAGGTTCCTCCTTCAATATTTGCCTCATATCTTGAGGCGCGAAAACCAACGGCGCTCGTGGATGATGATGAGGCGGCGGGGGCGGTGGGGCCACACTCGCACCGTACAGCTTGCGTCCCCAGTGACCCTCGAGCTCGACGGGACTTCCGCCTCCCGTGGTGGCCCCTGTACCACCCCCGGCGCCGAGTCCGAGCCATGCCGACCCCCCAGCACCCACGATCGTGGAGCTGGGCAGGAGACTGCTCCACTCGTCGGACCGCGTGGTGAGGCCGTAGGGATTCTCTTGGGGCAACAGGCTTCCTCCTTCGCGTTGCCACTCTTTGCAGAAACCTTCGTCGCCCCCTCGTTCACCACCCCTTCGCACTTCCGCGAGAGACTCCACTGGTTGTCTCTCCGTCAGAGCGTATACGTTCGGTGCCACGTTTCTTTAAATGCTTGCATGAATCGTTATCACTTGAACGCCAGCGACCGGTAGCCCGTGGCGGTGCATGAATGTCCGCTTACCACTGACGGTGTCGCGTCGTTCCGGGTTGCATCGTCAAAGCGAGCGCACCGACCCGCGTGTCAATGCACATGCGTCCGAAACGTGCGTGCCACGAGTTCGAAATACAAGCGCGCACTAAAGGGTTGCGTCTCACAATGCACTGTTCTCACTAGATGACAGTTCTCATTCGCTCGCGCAGAGTCGTGTCCTTTTTTCCTACCGATTCGCGTTGGTCTTCGCTGAATCGCGCGGGTCTCTATCACTGGTTGTACCACTTTCTACACGATGCACCGCATGTTTGAAAATATTGTGACGGGCGTCATGTGTTGTCTTTTGAACGCTCTCTTTAATCGCCTTTATGATGCTTTCTTCGAAATTGTCCGATGATTTTTATACCAAATGGGATGACATACGTTAGGAATGTATGCAGTGGTAGTAATCTGAGCACTCGTCGGCGGCACCCTGTGGCACGTATTATTCGTCGTTGCCGAACGTCTCAAGCGTGTCTCGTGATCAGCGGAGAGGTCCTTCGAGGTCCCCAGTCGCACGTTGTTTCCCGTTACGGAGCCGCTTGTCGAATGTGTCAGGGCCGGCACTAGCGGCGTGCCAGCAGGTCCCAGTGGGGTCGGGCTTTGAGGATAGCGGTGGGCGCGGCCAGGAACGACACCGCGCAACGACCATACCGTTGGGGTGGTTTTACCCATTTGGTACAGTGCACCAATCCACTGCGAGTTGCACGACCAATGGATGAAGTTGCTCGTACCCATCTCGACGCCCATTCCAGATACCAAGGATTGTGGCGCCGCTACGGCAACGTCATGAGACTGTCACTCTGGTGCGAGCCGCACTACCCTGAGGTCGATACTGTGACGCTCCGTTCTTTGAAATAAAAATGTAGTAATTAAAACCCCTGAAAATAATGAAAAATCCCTTAAATAAATATTTTTTATCAATTTTGTTTAATTTTCTCACTGGAAAAAATTTACGACATTTTTTAATCAATTTTTTTGTGACAATAAGTAAAGTATTTTTTAACGGGAATATACACATATATATTTTCTTACATTGCCAATTTTTTAAAGTGTTTTTAATGGTGAACTTAAGTTGTGTAAATCTGAACAGTTTTATTTGAATTCTATTATTATAGAACATTTTTGGGAAATAAGTTTTCGTAGTTACATAACTTATTTTCTTAAGAAAGTGTGATTTTTGTAGGTAGCTTTTATTTATAAAATAATTGAAATACTGTGCAGCAGAAAATCAGATGGCTTTGACTGAAAGTAGTTCATAGCTATATCTCTTTGGAACCTTATTTTAACGCGATGACATTTAGATCGTATATTGCGAAAATACTTTTTATTCTGCTCTGGATGTTATTTTGCGCTCTCGTTTAACTGATCAGTTTTTGTCGAGATATAATTAGAATACAAAGAGATCTGTGATCTCCCTCAAGAATTTATCGAATCGCCAACTGACATACCATTTCTATTGGCGTTAAACTCACTCTCTCTTCGCCGCGTCATAGATCACCCGTTCTACTTGCTGATAGATAGACTAGTATACATCAATTTGCGTAGCTACTCAAATAGTAAGAATAATATTTTCCTCATTTGTGCATTTTTAGTTTAATCAAATTTTCTTTCTTGTCTTGATATTTATAATTATTTTAGTAATATACAGAGCTGCGTATTAAGCTTGTTAATTTAAAAAATTTGATTTTATTTTTAAAAGATTAAACTTAACACAAAATTATAGTATATATTTTACGTAAACGACAAAAACATTAAGCGTTACTATGTAATCGAGTATATAAATCTTAAGTCGAGTGGCAGTTGGGTCGAAAAAGTAATTATAGAATTTGTTTGAATAAATTTATGTGATGGAGGGAATAAAGGCAATCGCGAAGTTAGAAGGGAAAGAAGAAAGAAAAGACTTGCAGTGTTTCGCAATTCTCTTACTAGTGTAAAGCCTGAAGAAAATCTATTCTTTTCTCAAGATCTTGTTTGAACAATTTACATCGGAGAGCCACTGCTTCGTGGGTATGGGGCCTATCAAGTGGAGATAATGTGTTCTGTGCCGGGTAATTTGGCTCTCCTCCCTTCTTTCCACTTTAACCGTGAATCTACATCTTTGACTGTTTTGCATTTGCAAATATTTCCGAATATTCTGTATTTATCTGTTGTACTATTGATTGAACTTAATTGTATATAATTCAAAAATAATATTAATCATTTATTGCACTGCGTGTTATGTTATAAAAATACGCATGCATTCATATTGATTAGAAGAAATACTAGCACTCAAATAAAAATAAAATATTCATCTATTTGCTAGTAATATACTAGTTACGAAATCAAGTTTAATAGTGAGTAATCGCTGAAACTATTTAACGTACACTCACCATATACGAAAGTGTCAGAGGTCGCCGATTAATGTTTATCACATGGCAAGATAATGAAGCTTAATGAGGGTCTGCAGGCGTCATTACGAAACACTCGACATGCGCGCGTGCCAAACCGGTTTCAATCTCCTTTTTTCTGAAGCTCGTCTTCTCTTTCACTGCCGTGATTCATGAGATCCCTCTCGGCTGCCCAACAGCCTGTAACATTGCCACCTTATGTCAATGACATGACTCCGGGGTATGAGAAGCTATTTAGAAATGCTTTTTGCTCCGTTATGCCTCGGTTCTTAAAAAAAGATCGTTTCAGTTTGCAAAAACAAAACGTATCGCGAGATTACTCTGTTGCAGTTGACTCATTATTTTTCAATAGAACAATAAAGTCTTGTAAGAATTTCTTTATATCTTATAAGAATTTTTATTTTTTTGCAACGAATTGCTTTATTTAATAGAAATATCAACGGCATGGATATAGAAAAGAGACATATATATCAAATAGTAAATACTTTCGATAGATTTTATGCATAGACGCTTCTCAAACATTCTAGTAATCCAATAGCAAGCGGTATCGACGTTCCTAAATGTCCCAATGATGTCAAATGAACATCATCGCATTGGCTAAATCCAATTATCAGTTGGAAGGGTCGTACGATTCTCAATATTGCCACGATGTGCATAGATATATAGATATCCTGCATTAGTTAACTTATCTTTTAAGCCTATTATTTGGCTATGATAATATTTTGATTCTGGTTTTTTTGTTTGTTCCACATAGAACTCGTCCCTGCATATGTCGTCGGCTTAAGAAGACGTGTTTGCGGATGAAATTGTCAACCACATTCGATTCAGCTCAGTAGCTGGTGTATCAATAATCAGGAAAACTTTTACTGATGCATTAAAATATAAGTATGCAGAAAAAAATATTGCATAAATGATAAAAAAAAGACTGAGAACTGATAATAAATATAGATATATAAAATATATAAAAGTATGAAATTTAAAATATTTTAACTGAAGTAATTTATTCAACGTTCGTTTTCTTATTACTTATCTTATGTATATAGTACGTAATGTTCTTCATTAATGCAATTATACAAATATTACTTCTGCAAAATTAAAACGATAATAAATGTATGTCATTAAGATTTTCGCAAGAATTTTAAGAATATAAGATATTACTGTTGAATTTTTTCCTATTGTGAACATCGGGCGTGCAAAAACAGCGACAATGTGAGCTTCGCGCACAGCATGGGTCGATGATTCTGCAAAATCTAAAATAGACGGGCGTGTTGCCGTAGCGAACCGCACTTGTCCCACCGTAATAGTATCCGGAGGTGCACCCTACAGCCATCGAAGCATCAAGGCAAGGTACTACCAGTACGCAATGGTACATCATGGGTCGGCAAGAAGGGTCCTGCCGAAGAGACCTCGACATATGTGACGCTCATGTGGGGTGGCATCCCTCAGGCTCGCGAATTCGGAACATGTGCGCGGGATAGAAGTGTCCAGAATTCTATGATAGAGTTTGTTTGCACTTGCACTTGCGATTCGTGAAGTGGTCTTCTGATTATTTTCGTCTATATTAAATCGAGACATCCCCTCACCTGTCAACCGTTCTAATTGTAAGCATTCGTAAAGACGAGAGATCGAATTTGGTTGACAAATGAAAAGAAATGAGAGTTCTTCTGTTGCTTGCAATACCTCTTTGTGATATTATTTAAACATATTGTTGTCTTAAAGCGATTACTTTTGAATATTATTTTATTTTATAATTTCTAATGTAAATCGTAATTATCTAAATAGTTATAAAATAAGAAAATAAAATAATTAGGCGTGCTATTAAACGTTTTAATTTTCAGACGCATAATTAACAATCTTGGATTAAATTTAAGTTCGCAGGAACATCATCTGTCGGGATCGCGTATTTCACAAAAAGGCGGCGTTAAAAACCACACAGTTCATCCGCATTGTATTTGCCCGTGCTGTCTCGAGTTCAGCATTTGGTATGACAATACCGCTGATCAGCGCATTGATGCATGATTATAATGATAATGCCGCCTCCTGTTTCTCAGGGGGGTGAGCGCGGGTGCGCGCGCGGAAACCCCTAAGGGGCGCTCGAGTTTTTCGGGTAAAGTTTTTCCTACGCAGATGCGCCACCGGACGGGGCTATTTATTAGTACGGCCATCCTGTCCGTGCACTCCCATTCAAAAGGGCCGGACAACAGGTTGCCGCGTCAA